AAAAAAGGGATAAAAACAAAAGCAAAAGAAAAAGGGGTAACTAGGGCGCACTGGCGCAGTCAAGATTTCAGTTTTCACGAGCATCTTACATGTCCTACAGTTAAAGCTGAGATCAAGTACAAACTTAAAAAGTCTTCAATCAATTAGTTGGTTTCATCAATCTAGGGATAATCAGACTTGAACTGATGGCTTCCACAATGTCAAGGTGGCGGCGGAGTCTGACTGGGAATAATACCGTGTGCAAAAGAAGGGGTTTTGCGGCTAAGGGCATGAACTGGTTTGGGTGCAGATGGGGGGCTTTTTACTTTTTAGAGGCTGGTGACATTGGAAACATTGCAGAATCTCCCACCAAGACAGGGGATTTCTGCTTTTTTTGTATATTAATAGTATCTTGTCGCACTTTTTTAGTGGGGTTGGGTTCCCTTTTTTGAGTGGGGTTGGGTTCCCTTTTTTGTTTGTTTACGATTTAGGGTTGCATGTTTTTTAGTGGACTTTGGACCGCTTGAACTAGTACTTGGACCTACCTTCTTCCGCTGAATACAACGTGCGGTCATTATATAGACCGTATCTAGACTGAAAGACCCCTGTATCTAGACTGAAAGATCCCTCAAATACAGCTATTATAATGACCGTTCGTTGTATTCGGGGGGGAAGAAGGAAGCTCTGAATGAACACAAGTCTATGTGAAGCTGTGCGTACCTCCCTTTGTTAGATTGTGTTACATTTGTTAGATTTTGTTAGATTTTGTTAGATTTTGTTAGATTTTGTTAGATTTCGCTGGGACTACTGGGACCTACCTTCTTCCCCGAATACAACGTACGGTCATTATAGCTGTATCTAGACTGAAAGACGCCTCAAATACAGCTATTATGACCATGCGTTGTATTCGGGGGAAGAAGGTAGTAGTTGTGAATGAATACAAGAATATCGGCTCGAAATGTGCGATATGAAAATGAACTTCCGCCCAGAACATGGGCAGATGCACCCGCCACGTTTTTGTCTTTTTCACATTTCGAAAGTGGTGTGGCCAGGCCCTATGTGGGGATGAATATACCTCCCTTCTTAGAGCCTCTTTCCACACCACTTGAGAACTCTCGAGTTTCAAGTGCGCCCTAATCACGAAATCTTGATTAATTTACACTAAGCCGCCTCCTTGTTCCATGCACACTAGAGACCGAACTTGAAAATGTCGCACTTGAAAGAAAAACACCCTGGCTCCCCCTTGTGCGGAGACCCACCGGCGGGTTTTCGATCCAGCAGGCCGGCACCAGGCCTTGAATATGTCCGCCTCAACAGTTCCACTCCTGGCACCCGGTACCACCACCGGTAGCGGTTGCTCACTGGACCGCGAAAAGGACATGCCGTGAACCAGGAACGCGGGGCGTAAAAGAAAAAGAAAAAAAAAAACACCTGCACCCGCGGCTCAAACCCAAGGGTAGCTCTTGAACTCAAGGCACCTCCGGGAGGTGACTTGAACTCAAGTGCGATTTTGCCTGGGCTGCACTTGAGTTTCAAGAGCGGGCACTTGAGATGCAAAATGTGAAAACAAAAAAGCATTTCTCTAGGGYGGGGKGGAACGATGATTTTTCSYGTCGCACTTGAACTCAAGTGGGGTGGAACGAGGCTCTTAGATGGTGTTACATTTTGTTAGATTTTGTTAGATTTTGTTAGATTTTGTTAGATTTTGTTAGATTTCGCTGGGCCAGGCATTCGTTTGTTGGACCATTCGCAATGGGACTTAAGTTTACCGACTTCGGGGGCCAGGTCCCACCAGCACCGTTGAGTTTGCTCAACGCCTGAATCTGGTCGTGTCTGTGGATATGTGCAGAAATGGCGTCGAGTTTTTTTCAACCGCATATCTCCACGAATGCATCCAGATTCAGGCGTTGAGGAAACTCAACGCTGCTAGTGGGACCTGGCCCCGGTTGGGTGGGATGGACTTGGCTGGAAGTGCCTCGCGGACCCGGAATGGCCGAGTAAATGTGAGGGACTCTGGACCCGGGGCCAAGTCCCAATTTCTGACCATAGATTAGAAAGATCAAAGGCCAGGAATGAGGAATCAGCCTAAGTGGGACTTGGCCGCCCGTTTCCGGCACAAATGGAATGTTTTTTTCTTAAAAAACAAACAAACAAACAAACAAACGATTTCAGTTTAAAATCCACTTCATGTGTCCCTCGGATACAACACATCCCCATCCGACCCTAAAGCTGGGTTGTATACATTCTCAATTTTCCTCAAATTGATACGGAAATGCATTTTCAAACGGAAACCGTGACAGAACCCTAGTTGTCCCTCGAATAAAAATAAAAAAACATCTGTGCTATTCCTTTTTTTTCCTTCTTTTTTTTTTTGTTGTTTGCCCCATAGTGCAATCATAACTCGTTTTTGTGACTCTACTGAAGTTACCCCTTCTTTTGGGGAAACTGCAGGGGAGTCACAAAAATGAGTTATCATTGCACTACGGGCCAAGATACAGTTTCAAATTGCAGTTCGGGCAATGTATACGACCCAGCTTTCTGGCCAGGTAGGGTGCCAGGAGTGCAATTACAAACTGTATCTTGCCCCCTGGTGCAATTATAACTCCTTTTTGTGACTCTACTGAAGTTACCCCCTCTTTTTCTTTTTTTTGACTCTGAATGAGTTTCTGCACTCTGGGCCCAGCACATGCTGCTCCCCATGAATAGACTTGAGCCTTCCCAACGGCTTGCCCTGATCCGGCCAGGGGATCCACCATGGACAGAGAGCAGAGAGCAGAGAGCAGAGAGCAGAGAGAGTGGAAAACAGACTGTGCAGGTTGTGACGCCCACTCAAAGCTTGAAAAAGGAGACAAACTGACCATGGCCGAGCACAGAGTGGAAAGTGAGAATCATGGAGCATGAAGGGAGATCATGTGAACGATGCTGGTACCATCTACTCCACGAGCACACTCCAGCTTGTCTTCCCCAAGGACCTCAATGGAGTTAATACTAACGACAAACTGAAGTGGGTTTACTCCAGGCTCAGAAAGATTCACTGGTCACTGACAGACAAAAATAGCGCAAAAAATAATTCTTCCATAAAATGTCAGCATGGAAGTGGAAGGGAAAGCCCGTGAAGGGGAACTTGGAGACAGCCAATCCAAAAAAAATCAAAGCGCATTCATTCTCTCCATTCATAGAGCTCAGCCTCAGACATCCAGGGTTTGATGGAAAGAGAGTATGATAAAAAAAAAAAAAAAAAAAAAGCCCGCGAAGCCTCCCACCATGGACGGCTGATGGTTGCAGAGATGTTTTCGACAAAAAAAAAAAAAAAAGGCGGCAGTGGTGGGGATGTTCTCATCATCCTTTGGATTCAATTGATGGCTTGCAAAATGATGTTTACAAAAATTTACACCCCACTCACCCTCCCCCCCCCCCCCCCCCCCCCCCCCCCCCCCCCCCCCCCCCCCCCCCCCCCCCCCCCAGAAAAACAGGGTCATCAGTCAGATTCTCTAGGATTGGGGCTGCAACCCTCTTGGATCTGGCCTTGCATAAGAGGGGGAAAGTACAGCTGGCGACCGGGGTGGGTTCCCCTGAAATACAGAGTAACAGATGCCCATGTGAAATTATTTATTTATTTTTTGTGTCCATCTGATTGAGAGTTGCGTATACCAGGTGCAGCTCCCCACCCATAGAGTGGAGCCAAAGAAAGGAGGGATACTCACATCTTGGGGATGCTCTTCACAATGCTTTGAATGGCAATGAATGCCAGCGGCCCTCTATTATGATGTCCGAAAACCCAAAAAAGAGTCGAGACATCCTGTGTGTTGTCTTACGTCCCACTCTGTCCCATGCCCCACTGTGTTCCGTGCCCCACTGCCCTGTGGGCCTGTGCCCAGCGGGACACAGGACAACACAGAGGACAGCGACTTTGGGACACTGAAGAGGAGAGGGGCCGTGGGAAGCCACCGAGGACAGGGAACATGGGACAGCACAGAATCCCCACATTTTCATCTTTGACTTTTTTTTTTTTTTTTCTTTTCTTTTCAGAGAGAGAATACTCCTTTCTATTGGTGGGGAGCTGCACCTGCTGGAAAACGGGTTCAGCGTCCCATTAGTCTCAAAAAAACATTATATGTATACAACTTCTGAACTCTGAGGAAGGATCAGATCCTCCTTCTCGTCCCAAAGGTGGCGAGAGAACACCACTGCTTGTTCTCTAGAAAACGAATCCACTGAAACTCAGAAGCCCATCGGCTGCAGATCAGCTTCTGGGCATCCTGGAGCTGAAGAGAGCTGTTCTTGATTTTGAACCATTCAGCTAAGATCAAGTCCCTAACTGCAGCTTTGAAAGAGTTACGTAAGCGGGCCGCAGGCCAAAAAGAGTTACTGAGCCCACGGTCCCTGTGGGCCAACCACAGGACCCAGAAACCAATAATGCGGAATTTGTTCCCAATCTTTGATCTAGCAGACGCGGCCTGATCCCCGAACAGGACCATGCTCTTAGTCCAGTATGACGATGAACCGTATGCTGCAAACCATAGACCGCTCAGCCATTCCCAGAAACCCCTAGCAACCACGCACTCCCACCAGAGGTGAGAGGAGTCTTCCAGAGACCGGTGGGGGTAGCCATCACATTGTACTGAGATGCCCATGCCTTTGTCTGTGCACCAGGCTGCAGTGGGCACACAGTTGTGCATGTGTAGCCACTGAAGTCCCGCTAGTTCTACCTCTGTGATCTCCAAAATGAGGCTGATGAAGAAATGGGTCCAGGCCAGTCCTGGGAGCGGTAGCTGCATTTGCTTGCACTCTGTTCCATGAGTCCCATAATCTGATTTGGAGCGACGACGCCTTGGAGTGAAGTTTGTAGTCGATTCGTGAAGAGTAGTCCTGCAGAAGTACTGTGGTGATGTTGTTGATTCCAGGGTAGTATTCCAGCCTGTTCGCGTCACGTCTGCTTTCCAGGTAGTGTAGTCCGTACCATTCATTACTGGTAGAAACTTGGTTCTGCCGTCCTTCCCACTCTCCTCCTTGACTCTTACCTCGCAGCAATGCTCCAAGTCGAGTGTCCGAGTAGGTGGGTCGGACCGTCGCAGTGACCCTTCGCTCAGACTCCAAGAGGAGACCTCCACCATCTGCATGGATCCCGGCCTGGTTACTCTGAAGTACTCTTGAGTGGTGGGGTCCTTCCACCAGGATTCTTGTTCCACAGACGCTTTGCCCGCCTGCAGCCTCGCTTTCCAAGTAGACGGTATAGCAGCAATCAGGAGGAACCTATGATGTTCCACTTTGTGCAGACCTCGCAGTTTCTCCCTTAATGATTCCGCCGTGAGCCAATCTGAAGTCTGAGTATCCCAGAGATGCTCAATCTTCCAAATCCCTTTCTGCAGCCACTTCCTGGCAAAGTTGCCAGGGCTTTTAGCTACTGAAAAGGTTTGGCCGGACGCGTCCAAGATGGCTGGGTTTTCGTACAGGCTAGTACTAGACATGATTTCAGAGAAAGTCTTGGGAGGTGTAAGAGTGTAAGGAAGGATTTTAGACCAGGCGTTCAGAATAGGACTCCATGTGGGGGACTTGACGGATCTGATCATAGGGTAATACAGAAGGGCCTGCCAAACAGCTTCTTAGTCGGTTAGTTCCCATTCCCTGGAGAGAGTGGCCTGTGCCAACTGCATCCAAGGCTGTTGCTCTTGTGAGGTGAGAAGCCTTACTGGCCATTTGGCCAGCAGGGCGGAGTTCAGTGTCTCTGGGTCTAGGATGCCCACACCCCTGTCGCGTCGCTTCTCGGTAAGTTTCCACCAGGCGACTTTGCTGATACATGAGGTGGTATTAGCGTCCCCCTTCCAGATAAATCTAGTAAGGAGTTGGAGTACCAGTTTGGCCGAAGATGAGGAAATCCGCCGAATCGCTAAGATAAACCAGAGAGTAGACAAAATGGTGCAATTGGCTACAAGAGCTCTTCCGAGGAGGGAGGGATTCTTTCTCCCAGACCATTTGGCACAGGTATCCCTAGTCCTGCTGTCAATCACCGATACTTGGTCCTTTTCAAAGTCCCCAAAAGATACCTTGATTCCCAGGTATCTTTCGGAATCTGTTGAGCGGACCATTTTGATTCCAAAGTCCACGGCGAGCAGGGAGTCATCCCGTGTCAAGGCAACAGACTTGTTCCAGTTTACCCGCATTTCCGAGGCCATTTCGTACGTGGAGAGACAATCGTGGAGAGCTGTTAATGAGGCGGGTGTATTTTCCGAAATGGCCGAGAAATCATCGGCTAAGGCCGAGACTTTTAACTCAAAGGATGGAGAGACCCGGAGGCCCCTGAAAGTCTGATGGTTTCTGATCATGTTAAGTAGAACTTCCAGTTGAATTACAAAGAGAGATGGCGCTAGGGGACAACCCTGTCTCAATGACCTCGTGACCTTAAAAGGCTGGGACACAACTCCGTTAACAATGATCCTCCCTTGTGACCCGTGGTAGAGGTTTCCTACCCAGCCCCTATAGTTAGGGCCTATTCCTAGCTTATAGTGGACCTGTAGTAGAAAATTCCAGTTAACTCGGTCGTAAGCTTTCTCGAAATCTATGAGAAGAATAGCGGTGTCCAATTCTCGTGCTTTGATGAGATCTATGGCTTGTGAAATTACCATGACGTTGTCCAAGACTTGCCCCCTGGAATAAAACCTGATTGGTCCGGGTGGACTAACTTGGTCATCAAACCGGTGAGGCGTCTTGCCAAGGTCTTAGACACGATTTTCCCAGACACGTTAAGCAAAGATATAGGCCTGTAATTCCGGACGTCCCGTCGGTCACCTTTCTTGTAGAGGAGGGTAATAACCCCCTCCGTCGTTCGCTGGCCGAGTGAGTTTCCTAAGAGAACGCTGTTGAAAACTCGAAGCAAGTCAGGTGCAAACAGGTCCCAGAATAGATTGTAGAATTCAATAGGTAGACCATCCGGCCCAGGGCATTTGCCCTTGGCCATACTGCACATAGCTATTGTTAGTTCGCAGAGAGTGATGGGTTGTTCCAGTGACTCCTGTTCTTGCTGTGATAAAATTATGTGCGTGGAACCCCATAGGAGGTCCTCATATTCCAGAGGCACTATTGGATCACGTGGATCTTTTTCGGAAGTGAGTAGCTTTTCGTAGAATATACGGACCAACTCGCAGATAGAGTCAGTGGTCGTAGCTGGTGGGTTCATGTTATCAAAAAGGTGTAAGAGCTCTACCATAGAGGAGGATCCGCGCTTGTCATTACCCTGCTTGAATGTTGTGGAATTCATTCTATCCTTGTGAAGGATGTTATCGATGCGTTTGAATTTTGCCCATGATTCTTGTCTACTGATTTGCTTATCCTGTCATTCCTACAACCAAAGGGCTCTCCTGAGAGCCCAGTGGCTGTCTGAGAAGGAATTAAAACCCATATTGTTCTCTGCTTTTTCTATGTTGCGCATAAGGATGATCTCATCTAGTTTCCTATTTGTCGCTTTAATTCTTGAGATATTGTTGAGGAGGCCGGACGGCATGTGCGTGCCTTTGTCCAGCCAGTCCCCATAGTCTGAGAACAGGGTGTAGGATGCCCTCCAGTCTTCCCAGAAGTTACGAACCCAGTCCCTCATGTCTTTATCCTCCAAAATTTGCATGTTTAGCTTGAAGGTGCCCCTCCCTTTAACCGGGGGGGGCCTGCCGCGATGGTGAGTGAAACAGGTTTGTGGTCAGAAAGTGGATCTAGTGAGTGTTCTGCTTTGAGAACCAGTGGAATCACTGATTCCGTGCAGAAGATGGTATCCAGTCTTCTGCACACCACCGGTGTATTGGATGAGAAACAGGTGAAAGAGCGCTGGTCGGGGTGTAGAATGCAGAACGGGTCGAAGAGACCCTTATCCGCCAGTAGTTCATTCAGAGCTAGAGATTCGCCTGGATGAGAGAGGGGGGAGGATGAGTCAAGTGCCTCGTTGGGCACCGTGTTCCAATCCCCCCCGATCAGCAGAAAGTTAGTGTCCGGTATAATTTGAGATAAATTGTTTAAAAAAGGAATTTTGGTGGCGTGGTCTGCGGGGGCATAAACCTATGAAACACCCGCGGACGCGTCCACGGGTCCGATCTCGGATGGCGGACGCAGACGGGTCCACATCCGCAGCCGACCTGGTCCACACCGCGGACCCAATTTTACCACAATTTTCCTGAATTAAATAATAGGTTAATATATATATATATATATATATGGGGCTGTAGGGAATTTTAAGCCCTACAACCCCATACGTTGTTTTTTGGAATCCGACTTTGTTTTGGATTCTTAAGAAATCAAAAACTCAATTCGATTTAAAAAAAAACATCAAAACAAAAATATAAAGAAAAGTTGGAATTTTTTTTTGTCACTTTTTATCATCAGATATATGGTCCCTGAGTTCACCTGTATTTTTTAGAAATGAATTTCTGTTTTTTGCAGGGGTATGAGGTGTTTTAGAAAAATAAAGATACAAAATTTAAAAATAAATAAACAAAAAACTTGAAAAAAAAAA